TGCTGACAGAGACGCTCAGGAAACTCTGATCTCCGCCCTAGTATCCAAGATGCGGATGGCTTGCTCTTCTTTGATTGGAACCTTTTCAGTAGTCTAATGTGAAACGTGCGAGGCCCGCTGAAGAGCATGCCAACCGCTTGTCTTTAAGGACATGGCGCTACTCCGAGCGCTCTATGTCCCGCACTGCATCCGTTAGGCCCTCTCATTGACTGAGTGTCACTCGGCTGTTCGAGCTTGAGGGCACTGTCTGGTCAAGCTGCAAGCACTACGTACTGTGGTTGTGTTGACCGGTGTACAAATCAGGTTGGCCGGCTGTAGCAGCCAGATCATCCGCGCCGGGAACGTATGTACACATTTACACCCATTCATCGAAGACTTGCTACAAAGGGCATGAAGACCATGAAGAGACCACGTCTTAACGAGTACGCATCGTGAGCACAGTGTGCCACGGAGCTGCCAGGGTCCACTTGGGTCCATTGTTATGTCGGGTTATGATTGAACATGATTGAACTTACGTGACCTGCTGTGGTCAATTGTGAATGCCAGACCTTGGGAACTCCGGGGTGCGTTTTCGCTCCGTCGGCCATTTCCATACTGTTCAGACCAGAACGCCACGTCCAGAAAAAGCGTGAGCCTACTGCAATGCCCAAACGCCCCGTGAGCTGCCCTCATGCTAGGCTGCTAGTTGCCAGTCGCCTCACTGACCCAGAAGTTCGAAACCGCTCTGCCAGGCAGGAATGCGATCTGATGCGGCGCCTTTTCCAATTCGGCTCCGCCCTCGTCGCTCGACTCACGTGGTCGCACAGACGGAGGCCTGTGCCCCGCTGTTGTGAACTTACACCCAAGCGCATCGCTGCGAGACAGTGCTAGGCTCTAATAACTCGAATAATGGCTCTCTGTGATGCATGGCATGGGCAGTTTGTTGGCTCCTTAACTTTCTTGACCCACGTGAGGCGTATTCCCGAAGTCGCAAGGATTTCAGAAACTTGTCCCTGGACGTTTCAAAGAGATGTCAGGGGTAGACCCTAGGTCACCTGCAAGGTCGTGTGCTTCCCCCCGTGATTAGTGGGGCGTGGATGTGGATGGCGCAGGGGCTGACCAGAGCCAAGTTCCAGTGTACATGCAGATCTTAGGAAGCGGATCTGATCTGGAGTTTTCTGGGAAACGTACCCCGCAGTCTTAACGTCTTAACGTACACAGAGCGTAGAGAGCGTGTTCAAGAGCTTGGCCAAGGGAGCTGCACAAAAGTTCGTGCAGCTGCCCCGCTGCCGACAATTTTCAAGGATTTCCCACGTTCCCCGTCGCTTGACCATGTAGTCCCCAAACCCTCCGAGGGTGCGATTGACAACAAAGGACTTACGCTGTATGTAGAGCCGTCAGAGCATGGATTGGCATAGATGCTTGAAGGCTATCCTCGGGAGTTTGCTCGGGGCTCCGTGGTTTGAGCAGGCCGGTAAAGACTGACATGGAAGGCTGCCTTAAGAATCAGTTCAATATAGTTTAAGCAATGGTCAATGTATGTTAATGCTGTTTTGTCGAACGATAGACAGCCTTCGTTGTCTCTTTGCGTGGCTTGGGCAGAAGCATGTGTCCAGACCCACATGCGCTGCGTGGATTGCCGTATACAAGACACAAGCTCCGCATAAGTGATGTTCACAAGTGCAGCAGCCGCAACGACATGTGGGTTTGGAGTGCAGATGAGTGCAGCATGCTTCGTCGGACTTCGTCCCGTCTTATGGTCCTGCAGTTGCCAAGGCTCGAAGAGACCGCTGGCAGATATCTGCAATCTGGACATTTAGAAGCCACGTTGATTCCAAAGCTAAGTTCAAGAACTATCAAGTTTGAGACCGATAATGCTGGAACAGTCTCATTGGAGGAGTGGCAAGCTTTGTTAAGCTGTGTGCATCTTGGCATAGTGCGCTTCGTTTATGACGAAGTGTCACGAGCACAGGTGCCAGTTGTACATTTCGCTGCAGTAGGGAATACCTGAGCGTTAGTCGTCATTGGAGGCTGGTGGTCCTGTCCCTCAGGCGATTTCGGCACTTGCACAGAAGGGCTGCGACACAAACACCGCAACTGAGCTCCCATGCTAATGTGCCATATTGCCCATTGCAATGGGCTACGCAGAAATCAAAGGGATTGGTTGTTCAAAGCTGGAGAAGGAGACCTTCGCATGCCGGACTGTGGAGAGCTGGACAATTGCGCCACGTTACGCCTGCGGAGGGTCGCGCGTGGAAAGCGCGGGCAATGGAGCGTGCTCCGAATCGTGCTCCGCAATCGCTGAAGGGGTCCGTGCGCGCGTAAGAGACGCCCTTCAGAAAATTGCGCCAGCTCTGCGCCAGCATTGCACCTCCGGGATCCTCCGGGGCATCCTCTGCTTCTCACATTTCACAAGTCGAGGCAGTTGACTTGTGAGAAGGAGTGGACTACAGGAGCACGATTTGTAATGTCAGAGCGTGCGCCCTTTTGAGCATGGGAGTTGGAAGTTGCATGACGTGCGCCTGCAATCAACCCCTTACATGGTCTCCTGCTATGGCTCCTAGTGACCTTCTTGATATGGTTGCCACGGGGTAAAGAGTGGACTGGCCCTCTTAGTGGCGAACTGTTTGAGACAACACTTTCATCACGAGCATCGGAGAACCTTGATCCCCTAACTCGACGGTGGTTGGTGGTCTTTGACGAGCAGCTCTTAAGTTCATAGAGTGCGGGTCGTTGTTTTGTCATTGCTACATATTACTACCATTGTCCCGCTTGCAGATGACATTCGTAAAGCCGACTCCCTCTGGACTGTGACGGCCCAACTCCCGCCTGGATTGCCAGTTGACCTACGGTTGCTGAAGAAGGATTGCCCGCCTTGTACGGAGTGTATGCCCCTATTTTTTTGAACTGCTTTCTTCTCAGCTGCTTTGGAGGTCCACCCTTCTTCAGAAGACAGCAGCTCAAATTCTTCGATGACGCCTTGTGCTGGGTACCAGCAGCTGTGGCTCTTTGTTACGGGTCCTGTGATCAGACCGCAGAAGACCTGGCTTCCTAGAGAATGCTCAATATATACTCGTAACTCTCCTAACAGTTTGGAGTTTTGAGCCGAGGGTCGGATTGCACATGGACTCCGTACTCGGACAAAGTAGAACCTACTGAGCCTCTCAGCATGGATCGAAAGTGAGGCAGCAGCTTGACCTGAAGTTGCAGAACATTGTAACATTGTAGTTTGTAGTGGCGAATGTATATGTCAGGACGCAGTGCATAGCAGTGCCCTACCCTCAAGCCAAGTTCAAGCCAAGCTCGGATGCCATTTTCAATTCTGGGCAGAGTCTGCAGCATGTGGGAGGCTCCAAGGAGGCTTCAAGCGAAGACCTACCCACACACTGCGCAGGCAGCATTCTGCAGCTCGGTTTCCACCACGTCACAGGACGTGTTGGGACCTACTCCGTGCATGCAAAATATGAAAAAGAACGGTGGGGAAGGCGACCAGCCACCCAAAATGCTGCAAGCCCCTATTCAATCCTATTCAGTGCCACACTGAGCAAATCTGAGAGCAGGGTGAGCCCGCCTTCTTCACTGGACAGTTTAATAGCTCGGCATCCCATCCAAAACAACGATTTCCAAGAACCACGACGTCCACGCGTGCTGTAGAAGCTACGCTGGGAACATGAACGCCTCCTCGAAGACGGCTAAAGCTAAACCGCACCATGAGGGAAGTGCAACCAGCTGGAGCGGGATGCTGGCTTTTTACATTCGCTTCTCGGCAGTTGCGCTGTCGATGCCCTTTCATTGCAGTCTGGGGGCTGAGAGCACTGCCATCGTAACAGTAAAGACATGGATAGAATTTCCGACCACGAGGCTTTTGGCTGTGTTTTGAACGGTATGAGTATGAACATGTATGAACGTAGCCATAGAAGCAGGTTGAGTAAGTTCAAACTTTCGGCCAGCCCAGATGCATGTGACTCGAGCTCACAAACATGTGAGTCAGAGCCGACGCAGGCGGAAGGTTTGGCAGCGGGAATTGCGGCATGGAGACAGTGTCTTTCGTTGAAAAGACCTTGTTGCTGTGCGGGTCAACAATACGAACTTAGTGTTGACATATGTGTTGCTTTGTATTTGGCTTTTTAAAAGCAGCGGCTTCCAGACGATGCTTGCAGCAGGGGGCTGGGGGGCGGGGGGGGGGGGGGGGGGGGGGGGGGGGGGGGGAATGGAACGGTTCACAAGAAATGAGTAGGGCGGGGCCCTTGGGATGGGCGGGGAAGGGGCGGGGGGAAAGTGACGCACCTGGCGTTGCCCGTCCAGGATGCAGAGGCGAACGGGGGCGATTTGATGGATGCTGTAAGCCTTGCTGTACTGCGTCAGTACATGCTTGGTTGCAGGGTTCAGAGAAGGATCAGAACGGTGTGTTTGAAAGGGTCTGGGAGATTGAATTTCATTAGGTCAGGTCACGAATCCATGTCGGAGGAGTGGGGATTTGCTTGGGCTCACTGACGTTGAGCCATGCAAGAAGTAAGGCGAGCAGCCTGCGAATGAGACTCATGCGCGTCTAGTTGGGGGAGAGATGCGAATTGTGAGTGGATGTGTTGCGAGGGTGCTTTCTCTTTTCATTGACGTCCGTAGCTGCGCGTGATTTTGTTGGGCGAAGCGCACCTCCCATGGAATTCAGCTGAGCTGACGACTGTGCCGGCGCGTTTTAGGGCCGTGCTTGTTTAGCACGTGCCCAACATAAGACTTGGCATACTTGGTGTGGCACATGCTTTGCGGCGTTCCGCCTCGCAGAGCTCGGCTCTCAGCCACTTAGATCGCAAAGCATGTTGTCAAGAACCGAGATATCTGGTTTGAGCAAGAAGTAGGGCTATGCAACTCAAGGAAGGGTATCTTACATGCAGCTCATCGAGGTGATTAAAGCGTGTTCTTAACCAAACGTGGTTGGTGGAGATCGGGCGGCTGGGCAATAGCCCTCCCTTGGCTGACCCGGAACAGGCGTGGAGCCTTCCTGCCTTCCTGCCAAGTCCGCGATGGCATCGCTTCTTTGTGTGTTAGGTCGTGACCTTGGCCCAATTTTTCTACTCTTTCTGACGGCTGTCATCTGGAAGAGGAACTTCTACATGCGTGGCTTGACCTACCGAACATGTGTAGTGCCAGCAAGCCGGGAGAAGATCATGAAATCGATCTTCTACATTGGCTTGCTCGGGAGCTTTGACGCCGCCTTAAGGCGGATGGGTCAGCTCCTTGTTCTACTCAAGCTACCAGTTTTCCCAAAGTCCGAGCGCTCGGCTTTTTTGCTCCGCCTTCTGTTCCTTCATGTTCCTTGGGCCCTCTGGGCAATCCGGGGCCCCCTGAGCGAGCGCGGCTCTACTCGCGATGACCGTGGCTGGTCGGACGCCGTGACGCGCTCGCGCCTTTGGCGGATGGTCTCCGCTGCGTTCGGCCACGCGCAGATCGTCCTCTCGGAGGAGTGGCGTCAGCTCAGCCCAAAGGAGATCCAACATTGGATGGATCGTCACTATGCCGGGATCTTACACAGCAACGATTCTGAGGCCAGAAGTTTGATATGAATCTGGCTCCTGAGACCTTCCAAGGTCATCCCGATGCATCCCCATGGCCTGCTGCCATTTGGGGCCATCCTGGCCGGGCTCACATGGGTGCCCTGCCTTGCAGTCAAGAGATTCAAATTCTCAGAAGTCTCTCTGAGACCATTTCAGGCCCAAAGCCTGTGTGCAACCCGAGGCTGGCGGCGGCCTCCGGGGTCGCACAGCCTCTGGCGTAGAACTGCCCGAGCCGGCCTGGGGGTGGGGATTTGGGAGAGACCTTCGGGGCATGCTGTGGAACCCTGGCCGACAGATTCTTCAAAATGGTTGAGAGACGAGTGTGCCCCAACACCCTCAGAGCATTCTAAGAGCAAGCTGAGAGCATGCTGGGGCAGGAGAACGGAGGCGAACTTCTGCACCAGCGCTGGTTCAGGCCTAGTATGGCAGTTGCCATTGCCTGCCAACCCAGCCTGATGAATATTCGATGCAAGTGACGGTGGCTACCATGTAGTTGGATGTAGTTGCAATGCAGACAGGTGCGGGTAGTCAGCAAGAAGTGCACCACACAGTGAATGCATACCAACAGGCAGATGAAGCTGCGTGCGGCAGTTGCGCTCCAAACCAAGACCTTGTGATACCTTGTGTTCATGGAGGGGGACTGACCGCTGTAGGCTGAACCGTGAGGGTTCCTTCTGACAAACCATGAACGTAACCGAAGACACAGACGTTGGCTTCCCGTCTCAGGTCCGGGGCATGCGGCCTTTTCCCCGGCTTCTACGAGATGTTCACGACGCTGGGCTTGAGCCTTAAACCTCATGTGACGACATGTGCGCCAACTGTTTCAACATTAGGTGGGGAATGCTTTCTGCTTCTAAGGTGCCTTTGAATGCACCAAGCCCTTTATCTGTGACCGTCTCCGGGCTGGGCGCGATGTAGCCATCTTCGTGGGCGGGGCACAGGACGATCAAAGGTTTCCAAGCACTCGGTAAGCCGTAAAGGTCTAATCAGCCGAAGTTGCCAAACCAGCTGGAAGAGGCGGCATAGTCACAGCCTTGGCGGAGCGATGGTTGGACCAGAACCCCCGCTGCCAGGAGAGCGCGTATGCCACCCCAGGGCGCTATGTCTGTTACGTCAATTCCCACAAAGGCTATCCGCATTGCATGAGCACATGAACATCCATTCGTTGCAGAGTTGCTTATCCGATGTCTGACCTCCACATCTGCAGCTGCCCGTGGCGCTCCTTTTTTTGCCTTGCGCGATGTGCCCCTTTCAGCCGGGCATGCGCCAGGATTCGTGCGGCTTGCTTTAGAGGAGCGGAGGGACCTCCTCCCGATGCAGAGACCCAAGAGTTTGCAAGAATGTATGACAGCCAGTCACCCAGTCCCTGCTCCCGCCGCAGCCCAGCTAGGGCCGCTAGGGAAAGAAGCTTGGGCAAACCATGGCAACATGGTTGTGGAGATTGCTCAGACAACAGGTGGTGCTTTGGCGATGAGGCCATCATTCCTCAGATGAGGGACCCGCAGCCAGCCCAGATTCACGTGGATTCGGCGCCTGCTCAAATTCAACTTTGGAGTGATCTGACACCTAGGCCCGCGTGGATCGCGCAGTTGCAGAAGTTGTTCAAGAGCATCACGGGGCTCCTAGCAGCTCGGCAGTTCATGGGGCATTGGGGTTGCAACTATTGCAACTGTAGTAGAGGGGGACGCAAGCTTTTGCACATCTCTGCGCCTCTACGTGACCACAGTGCACCTAGCAGTGCCCATCGGCAGGTACCTCCAGCCTTCGCCGGATTGCCACGACTTCCGCCGCTGACCCTGGTGACGGGACCGGGCAAGTGAAGACTCTGTAAATCTCTGTAACAACAAAGCCTGCAAAGTTATTCTGCACATTAGGTGTTTCCTTTTGTGTCTATTTGTGTCTGGACCAATCTGATCACATCTAATCACATCTGATCACATCTCATCTGGCAGGAGTTCCGGTCTCGTTGGAGGACAGCATGCAGTGGCTTGTTTTTGTGGGAGGCAAGCATCCTTGCCAGATGTCGATACATGGCTTGAGATTGCGAGGATCTGTGGGCGAAGGAGCTTGGTGGTGAGGTTTCTGAAGAGGCTGTGAACGAGGACAGGTTTTCTGGGCAGTGGCCGCTGTCATTAGCTCAAGCCTTTGGGAACGTCGGCTGTGGTGGCTCAGCAGGGCTTCCTCCCCAGAATATGAAAAACACGAAAAGAGCCGCATCCCTGCAAGCTCAGATCAATTGTTCTGCAGGGCCATCGTCGATACGTGGAGGCAAAGCGTGTGGCCTATGCAGAAAGTAAAAGAATTTGCGTGTGGATGCAGACCGATCAGTTTGGTAGCTGCTTTCAAACATGCTCGGTCTGGTAGGCGCAGCAGAAGTTGTTCGACAGCAACAAGGCGATTCCGCTTCGAATCGCTTCAACTGGCAGTCGCCCTTTGAGGGGCACAATTAAATGCGGGCCGTTTTTTTTTTACTTCTTCACTCTGTGCCCCAGAAGCCGTTCCAAGCTCTTGCCCTCGACCGTCTTTTTTTTATGCTCCAGGCAAGATCGCTCAGTGATGCTGCCGTTTCTGTTGTCAACTGTTATTCTCAGGGTGCCTTTATTGCGCGGACCCGACATTTTCTTATGCTCCCCTCCCGTTGTTTCTTCCCTCCCCCGGCCTCCCCACCCTCGCCCCCAAACCCCCCGACCCCCCGCCCCACCCCACCCCGACCTTTCCAGCATCCTCTCTAAGACAAGCCTACCCTAGAGCCACACACAAAGGAAAAAAGCACCAACAGGCTCAACCTGGTGGTGCTCAACCTGTGCACCAACAGCGAATGTGGGACCATGCACACAACTCAAAGACAAGGCTACCCTAAATTACACCCACTAAAGCTGGGCACCCTAAACCCCTAACCCTAAACCCCTACTCGGACCCTACAGCCCCAAAGCCCTGAAGGTTGCTAGGCTGGGGCTTAAGGTAGTCAGCACTCGATAGAACTCGCTGCTAGCATAAACAGAAGCGCCCTCAGCATTAAAGAGCACTCTCAGCATAAGGTGAGCGGGGCCTGTTTGATCCGAGTCCAGGCATTGGTGCGCGGTGGCCATGAGAAGGGCGTTATCGAGTTTCTCTGAGCGCTGACCAGGGAAACAGAGAAAGTTCTTCGCAGTAGCCAGGGTGTCGGGTTGTAGCGCAGGTGATCCTGTCGATTATGCTATCTTTGCAGTGGTACCATTTGTTGCAAGACACCAGTAATGACAAGCATGACGACAAGCATGAGAAGCCCATAAAGCCCATCATCGCTTAGAATCAAGCGAACACTAGGCGTGATATTGGGCGTAGGGCCGCACGAACTAAGTTATTTCTTCACTGGTTAAAATCAGGCACAAGCGCTCTTCAAGTTCAAATGCAGCACTTCACCCAACTCAGGCGTTGCGTATGCTGCCGGAGCCTCCCAAAGTATCCCAGCTGTTCCAGCTTCCCTTTCTTTTCTCCTTTCCGCTCTGGATGTCCCATCAGCGTATTCTCGTGCCTGGAGTAATGCCGGACGCTGAGGATGAGGCTGATGAGAGGATCAAATTGCATTTTTAAGGGGCTTGGACACGGTGCATCCGTCGGCCTTGTCGATCGTTCATGCTGCGAGATGCTGCGCTGTCGGCTTGAAAGGTAGGGCCTGAGGGAGATGTATCGACATGTCTGTCAGAACTTGCACTTGTCAACACTCTTGACGGGCAACAACACAGAGCCGACACTTACTCAGCTACACAGCCCCAAGCTTTTGAAGACGTGTCGAGCAGAAACAATCGCAACACTGCGAAAGCAAGCAGAAGTAGAATCGGTACGCTCCTCAGAGTCAGTCTCCTTACAGCCACTTTCTCTCTCTCTCTCTCTCTCTCTCTGCCTCCCTCCCTCCTCTCTCTCTCTCTCGCGCTCTCTGTTAATGAGGCACCCCCCAACCCCCCCTCCCCTCAGACTTGGGAGTTGCGCTTTCTTCGTCAAAGGCTCAGATGCTGGCCATGGCCAGCGCCATTGGCAGGCCAGAGGGGGGGGGGGGGGAGGGAGGCGAATTTTTAATCGTGTTATAGAGCTGGAATATGTGGCTTTCCTGAGATGCGAAAGTGTGCTGCAGAGCCAACCCCAAAATGGGTTTCGGGGAACGACTTTGGAGAGGCGCCTGGCGCGTAGCCTGCCGGGGCTGGAGCCGAGCCTCGCTGTGGCAAGAGGTTCCCACAGCAATTTGAAATGTCCGAAGTTTTGGTCAACCTTGGTCTGTTGCAGAAGTTGCAATAACTAGCTGTGCATGTGTGTGTGTGTGTGCGTCCTGCAGTCTTCGCACGTGCCATGCACGATGCTCTTCGCTTCTTTTCGGGTGGGTAAAGGATCTAACGCCCGTCTGATGGTTGTCGGTCGTTCGGCATGGACAAGGCCATGGAAGATGAGAATCATTCATAAAGGGATGCAAGGGGGCTGAGATGGCGGAAGCTCGAACATCGCGACAACCGCAAGTCCACAACTCTGCTCAGCTGGAAACTCCGAGAAGAAATGAGGGCGTGGTGGCTTGTGGATGCTTCTCTTATCTGCCTGCAGGTGCGCAGCTGCCCTCGCCCTCTGAGGGCCTCGCCCCGCTGCTACAGGTTGGGCCTCTGAAAAGTTGGATTGTAGAAAGGTTTCGCTTGGCCGACATGCTTTTACATGCTTTTGCATTTCTAAGATCCTCCGGTAGCTTGTCGACTTAGAGGTTTAAGAGGTCTGTAGCCAAGTCAGTATTAACAGTGGTTTTCGCTCTCTGCGTTTTGATCCGACACGGCTTGGGCCGGGCAGGGTTTGTCATGAAGACCTTTGGCATTGAGCCATGTTTGACTGCGCCGACTTGTTGGTTCTTCCCGCGTGTTTCGGCGGAACTCTGGCAGGTGCGGTGGCGCAAATGACGCGGAGGCAAGATGAAAACTAAGCTGCTGGGGCCTCAGTCGACAGAGGGTACGGAGAGACGTTTGTGCTTCACAATGGGCGCCGACCCGCTCGACAGCTCCAAGCTTAACTTTCTTTCTTTTTCCGGCAGCCCTAAATCCCTGTGCCAGCCAGCATCTAATCTAACAGCGAAGCGGATCAAAGCGGTAGAGCCATGCAGCAACATCAAGCCCATCAAGAACACTGAAAGAAAGAGCATGTGCTCGAAGCAGGCGTCGAATGATTCGTCAGCAGCGGCGGAAGGAGCGTGACGAGGCCGTCATCAAGAGACATTTCTGAAGAGACAATCTTTGGAGCAATCTTTGGAGCAATCTTTGGAGCAATCTTTGGAGCAATCTGAGGATTCAGGCAGACATTGATGCAAGAGGCGTTGCAGTCTGCAAAGCACCCTGCAGCTGCACAGGATGAGCGAGTCAGGCGTTCCCACCGATTGCCACAGGACTGCACGGAGATGGATGACAGATTCAGTATCTCAAAAGTCTAGCTTGCACTGTGTAGATGTGGATTGCCTTCTGCCTCAGCATGTCGTCGCATCACAACTGGACGCTGATGTCCAGCCTGCGAAGTAAGCTTGGAGAGTACTCTGCTGAAGGAGCGGACTGTGATTCGAGGGCCGCCCCCTTCTCCGCCGCCTGCGTAGGTCCATCTGCCGAGTCTGGGCACATGTTTTCATGCAGAGATTCGTCAGTGTCCAAGCTCTTCGATTTCCTCCAAGGGCAAGGTCGATACCATGTGCGTTAGAAGAAGCAGAAAGGGTCGGAAACCTGCGGAGGTGTATGGATGCAGCGCATGAACTGTTGCAGGAGGATGTTGAACACTCCATAGGAATAAGAAGCTGCACGATTTTGGCAACAAAACGCGAAGCTTCTGCAGATGCAAGGGTCTGCGTCGGCACGTGTTGGACGGGCAGCAGCTTTCAGAGGCACGCCTCCCGCTGACATGCGCTTGACATGCAAAGATACGCTCTCACCCACGTTCAAGTGCCTGCAAATGCTTCGCATATCTGCCTCAGCGCGACCCAGAACACTCAAAAGCTCTGGAAGATTCCGTGAGTCAACAAGGCTGGCCAGAGACGTGCAAGAAAACAGAGACTAAGATCAGCTGGGAGAACCGGGGGAGGGGTCAAGATGTGCTCGCTTTCAAGTAGAAGCAGCACGGTACTGCCATCCCACGACCAAGACGATGGACATCAGTAAACCCACGTTCAGAGGTACAGCTGGCTCGCTGCCAGTTGGCAAGAAAACGCACTCGGCGGCCTGTGCTTCTGCCAAGCGAGCCACCGCGCACATCTGGACCCTCCAAGACGGTGTCTGCATAGGGAGGGGTTGCGGTTACGGTGGTGAAGGGCAAGGTCATTTCCAGAAGCTTCGCAACCAGCGTGGCCAAGTGCAGCCTGACTGAATCTGGTGTACTTTTCAGAGACTTCTACGCGATCCATAGAGTTCGCCGCTCCGTGAGAATCCGTGATTCTTTAGTAGTGGATGACACATCACCTATCATGTCGCAAGTGCCATCAAGTGCTGAATTGCCGACTCTTGAAAGGTGATGGGCAATGCTGATTGCTTGTGAGACTGCAAGTGGGTGGGAGAGCCGGCTAGAAGTCTTCACATTGTGCTGAATGACTTCGATGCTCCATAATCAGTACCTCACCTTCGATTTCTAGCGGGCAGCCGAAGCATCGTATCACGCGGATGTCGCAGGACTTCTAAGGCTTTCCCAGCCATTTGTTTTTGAAGCACCGCGCTTGCCTGGAGACTGATTGCATGGCTTTCCGAATCGCGTGCCCTGGAGAATCTACGCAGACTGCGCTTGACCATTCTGTAGCCTTTGGCGTCAAAGCCGCGAGTGTAGTGCATAGTCGCATAGTCACTCTAGTCCAGATGAATACTTGGTTGTTGCTTGGCTTCAGGCCCCCTCTGCGGCATGTTCTCCACAAGACTCACCAAGATCGTGTTAACGTATTCATCTCGCTCGCGAGGCGTGTGGCCACGTGCCAGTACAAAAAGACATGTTGACTGTATGAGCAGTGCTCTGACCGAAGACGGAGCCGACATAGTCATCCGTAGCGCGGTTCCTGCATCCTTGTCTGCAGTAGCAGCTGAACTTGAGGATTTGGGCCGGATAGTTGAACTTCTGGATTTGGACTGCTGCCTTGCCTCTCGATTCCTAGCTTCACCTGGGCTCTGATGGTAAGATTTCGAACAAGTGCAACAACGACAAGGCTGACAATAGTGACGGCGACAAAGTCGCAGTAATCAAAGATCATGGCAGCGAAGTAAACAAACTGGTAGTTGGCTTTCCGGTTCTTGCAATCGTGCCTACATGAAACAAGTACTGGTTCGTAGCA